GCGTTTCTTTACTTTTCCTTAACATTAAAGAGTGCTTTGATCATGTCAATAGGAACCAACTTGCTACTATCCTTCACCGAGCCCAGGGTCTGTCGTATCTGGTAGAATGTGTAACGTCTTTTCTGTTTCAACGCAAGCGCTGCTTGGTTTTTCAGGGTGCTCCTAATCTATTTTCTGCTATTTTCGTCGATACCCCTTAAGGGTCACCCATTTCTCCACTTTTGTTTATTGTGTATGTTGCTTCTCTTCACCAAGTTATCCTGACAGGGCTGATAGTTTCTTAGGTGGATGATTTTTCTGTTACTGTGGCTTCTTCTTCTTATCACAGGAATGTTCGCTCCCTCCAGTTTTACTTTCATGTACTTGACTGGATAGGGCGGGGGCTGGGTGTTTCCTTTTCTGTTCCAAAAACTGAGCTTCTTTACTAGCACATGCCTAGGGACAGGTATCCTGTATGCTCCTTGCCGGTTGGCCTTAATGGCTGGGTATTTTTCCCTGAATCCAAGATGCAGTGGCTAGGCTATTAGCTTACCCCTGCCATAGACACTACTCCTCACTTCACATGGTATCCAGCCCATACTCAGTCCTCATTTGTTCTGGTTTGTCACCTTAGTAGCCCTGGGGGGGGTCTGTCTCCGTGGTGCAATTATAAGCTTGTGGTGGACCTGCTACTTCCTATCCACACTTTCAGGGGTGACTTTATCACCCTCAATGCTACCATTCTTAGAAAGCTTGACTCTTTTCAGTACCGGGTTCTATGATGGGTGACCAACTGCTTTTCCTCCATGCCTATTTTGGCACTCTACTGCGAGGCTACCATTTCCCCACTCAGAGAATTTTTACTGCACAAACGAAGGGCTGCTGCTCTTAGGCAGGTATGCCCCCCCCCCTTCTGTCAATCCTGCCAAAGCTCACCTCCACCCTGGGGTGCCAACCTGGGACAAGTGGCGGGCTCCCTCAAACCATTCTCTACTCCGAGGCCTTAAACCGTGTGTCATGCCTACACTCTGGTCCTGTACCCCCTCCTCCAAGTACAGAGACCTCCAACTACAGGGACCTCCTACTACATGCTGCCATACACTCAATAAAGTTCCTCTTACCGGCTGTCCTTCCCTTGGCCTGCACTCACCTAATTGCGCCATGGGGTTATGAAGCCCAGGGCTCTCCCTCATATCATGCTCTGAAGTCAAAACTGAAAGACTCTCTACTAGTAGAATAGACCAAGTCCAGGCCACCCCAAGCACCCTACCAGTTTTTACCCTCAACTACCCCCCACGCCTTCAGAGGCCTCCCGAGGTTTGTGGTAGGCCATCTCCATCAGATGCGGTCACGTAAGAGCTACTTGGCCGCCCACAGCTCCTGGTACTCTAGTGAGGAGCCTACACTCTATCCTTTCTGTGAAGAAGGTGAGGAATATTTCGAACATGCAATCCTTTTTTGTCCCACTAAGGCCAGGCAGCACAAGGCCCATTGTCAGGGCATCGACAGCGTTGGTCCTGATGCCACCGTATGGTCCTCAGCTGGCCTGATACATCAGTTGGCTAAATACATCTCCTCTACTGTTATGGGCTCTCCACCCAAGATGCCTGCTATTTGAGTGAACACTACTTTGCCCTCCACCTACTCTTCAGGGTCGTTTTCTTTACCTTGTTCATCAGTTCAAGGGCCCTGTAGGACTTGCGCTTTTGGTACTATTTCTTTCCTTACATGTTTTAGTACCCTGGGGCACCTAAGTGTTGTAATGGTATAGGTTTATTCTACTTATGCCTTTTGCCGATTAGGGCTAGTACCTAGGGAAGGAATTTCTTTACTTTACTTTGTTAGTCATTGTGGGTGATGTGAGGGGCTGTTTTGCTCCGCTTTAAAGATACTACCGCATTGGTCATGTTTCCTTGATGTCGTTGGATGGGAATTAAGGTTTTTTCTATTACTATACCATAAGGTACATGTACGTTTTTAAACCAGAATCAACAAGCATATGAATTAAAAATAATAATAAAAAAATAAAGTCTGTTAACCCAATTTCAGATAAATAAACTTGAATATTATAAGTAAATTTAAAAGAAATAAGATAAACAAAAGAAAGAAGTTAATATACTATAGATCTATACCACGTCAGAAGACAGATTCCGTGACTTTTTTGAAATGAATTGAGAATCATTCGATCCCCTTGCCTTAGTCCTTCGAGAGGACCTAATTTTTTAAAAATAATTCCTAAAATCCTCAAGAACCTATTGTGATACGACTAGCAACTATGTTATACTTTATAGGATCATCAGGAGCATCAGTAATTTAAGGAGTGGCTCAGCTAGGAATTAGGGAAGGAACTACTCGCTTGTATTGCAATCGCTGTATTAGTGCATTTGTACAATATTCTCTACAACTTATTACCAGGCCATAGCCCAGAGTATTGCACTTTGGACAAATGCGGTGGTTGATTGAGGAAGTTAGTAGGTTTCCGGGATATGGTGGGTTTCTTGATAGAACATTATTATATGTCATTAAGCTTATGGAGCCAGAGGCTATGAAGCTGTAAATTTCTTGATAGAACAGATATAGTACATCGGTATGGACCAGCGTACTATGGTGAAACTTACTTCAATCAGAAAACGCAGTATATAATCAATATTCAAGCAATTTCTAATAGCAAGAGGAGATTTACCTTTGTTACTAGTAGGTATCCAGCTTCAGTTGGTGATCCTACAGTTTTCAGAAAAAGCACATTCATCAAAAAGCCAAATTTGTTTTGTTCCCAATGGAAAGAGCATATCCTCGCTGATAAGGTATACCGGGTCACAAGACATTGTATGACTCCATACCAGGCACCTCTTGCAAGTTGTTAGTTGAGTGGATATTGGAATTTTGATGTACATTTAGCTGAAGCAAGGGTGACAATTGAGCATGCATTTGGTGTATTGAAAAACTATTGGGGGTCACCTTGAAGTCTACCCATTAATGTCCGAAGATCTTAAGATCATGTACGAGTACTAGCTTGGATTATACCTTGTTTTGTTTTACATAATTTTCTATGTACCTTTAAAAGTGACGAGCTGTGAGTATCCAATAGAAATAATGAGAGCTGGGTTGACAGAGAGGAAATGGATGATGAGGATGAATTTATGGATATTGAAGCTGAACAACAGGCTGGTACGGAGTTGAGCAACAGAATGCAGGAGTATTTTCTTAATCAATAAGTCGAATTATACTTTCATGAAATAAAATCATGATACAGATAAATCAATAATAAAAACAATAAAAAAGAATTAATAAAATAAAATAAAATAAACAAAAAGAAATAAACAATAAAATAAAATAAACAATAAAATAAAGTAAACATAAAATAAAATAAACAATAAAATAAAATAAACAATAGGAATAGAAGAAAAGGTTGGACAATTTTCTTAAACATTCCCAAATCTCTAACATTCATCTCCTCTGATTCTTTATTTTCAAAGATCTCCTGTCATAGTGATCCTCCTAATCTTCATAGTCATCCATATCCTTGATCTCTTCCTATCCAGTTGGTGATGCTTGCATTTGTAGCGTCATTAGTTCAGTTCGCCACTGCTCTGACCGATTTCATTCTCTTTCAATTTTCATTCTTTCCTGCTCTAAATCTAACTCTCAATTCCTGAGCTCTTCTTGTTGCTACAAGTGTTAACTTAATAAATTAAACTTTTTTTCCTCTCATTGCAATCTTGCCCAGGCTAGTATGCTAACAGCATCAAGTAGGGCAGTTGAGGCTCCCTTTTTCTTTTGTGATGCTCTGGATAGTCCAATGTCAACCTCCTCTTCTCCATCATTCAACATTTCTGAAATACGGCGTTTTACTAATCCTTGTAGGGTAGAAGCTGATTTTCTTCTAACATTTGACACAGGTACTGAAGTTTGGCTTTGTCCAACCACCTCCCCTCATTGTATGCCTCTTCCTCCTTTTTCTTTTCTTTGTTTCTTTCCATTTTCTTTACCTTTTCCTAAGTTTTTTTTCTCTCTTATTCCTCTCTTCCAGTAAGGTATTCTCTCTTTCTCCAATGAAGTCATCTTCTATCCCAGTCCTACTAGTAATAATTTTCATCTCACTAACTTCTTCTAAAGTCTCTCTCTCCTCTCACTGTACCGTACCTGCTTCCTGAGCCATTTCAATACTATTATCCTCATCCTAGCATAAATCTCTTCTCTCTTTACCTCCTTCTTCACCACCAGTTTCCTTTTCTCTATCCAAGTCAAAACCTAAGTCCTCCTCCCTGCACTCCTCCAATTCCTCTTCCTTATCAACTGACATCATGGCTCTAAGAAGGCTCTCAACTGCAGTTGCAGTATCCTCTACATCTGTATTTGAGTTGTAGAATGCAGGTGGTTAAACATTGGAACAATCTCTAAAAATCTTTTTCAATCAGAAGATGTATGGACATCGCAATAGCCACTAATCTTCAATTGGTCATAGAAGTCAGCATTTTCCTCTTTCATATTCTTCTTTATTGCTTTTCTTTTTCATGTTTATATTTTTTTGTTTTTTAAATCATATCCATATAAGTTAAAAATTAAAATACCTACCTCTTAAAGTTTGCTGTCCCGCATTTAGGTTCTTCTTCATAAGTCCCTAGCTAGTTTGAGTATTGAAACCTATAGCTGCTTGATAGGATTTCATAAGATTATTGCATTTGTAGTCTACTTTAACTGCTGGCTTCGTAGGAATTCTTGTGACAATCTCAGCAATTATCTTTTGCTTTGAAACCCCTGATCCTCATTTCGGTTTTCATAGGTTTTCTACCTCTTTAACCTATTGGATAAGTTGCTTGTTTTCGTCTTTTGTTCAAATTAAGTACACACTATGATTTCGCGACATTGTCATTGTCCTTCTGTGAGTTTCACACTCTCTGTTATATGTGGTTCGTTGAAGTTTAGTGGGTCTTTCCATTTTACAATGATGTCAGATAAAAAAAAAAAATAATTATATGCTAATAGTTACTTTTATTACCCTGCTGCTATCCTCCGAGGATCTCAAATATGTCACCTCAAATATGCTAATATAATTGGCTACACTTGATTTGTACACTAATGCAGACTAATGCACAACTACGTATCTACCGTTTTACCATTTTTTCTGTTTTTATCTTTGAAAACCCCTACTAGTATGTTGTATGTTAACTGTTACGGTGGCAGCCCACTACCCGAGCGGGGAATCACTACTCGATCTTTTAGCCTCGCTTTAGCGCAAATCCGACTTTTGCGAAAAGATACGGTACTACCTGCAAAACCTCCCTATAACGCGACCAAAAATCCGACCTCCTCGCTGAGCCCTCGCCGAGTATTCAGCTGGTGCACAAGTACTGTACTGGTACAGTACCGGTAGGTCAACAACTAGTGGGACAGCACAGCACAAGTAACTTAGCTCTCTCAAGGAGAGGATACTCGCCGGATGGACCGGAGAGTGCGGTGTGGTTTCCCTCAAACCCCATCCAATAACCGTGGAGCACTGAGTGAACCCCTGTCCAGAGTATATTACGGAACAGGACTTCACAGCCGCACCCTAAGCAGGGCTGTTTCCACCTCGTGCATAGGTCAGCTCCTGTCCCCAAGCCCGTATCCTTCAACAAGCAACTGGCCGCCTAAATTTCCAACACTCCCGCTCTCACCAGAGCTTCTCCCTGCCAAAAGATACCATGTACGACCCGGTTCCGTACCGAGACACTGACGAAACTGCTCCGCACTCTAAAGATGACGCCTCCGATTCCAACCGCTCCTCTATGGACTCCACTTCAACAACATCCCTTATCCTAGAGAGACTCCACCGTGAAGATCCTGATGAGAGCCCTGACGAAGACGAACCTTCTGCGCGAAGCCAGAGGGAAAAGCTCGATGCAGATGACGACCTCGAAATTGGCCGTGCTGCTCGTCTCAAGCCCATGGAAAGGAAGGTTAGGAGGGCTATGTACCTTCTCGCTCTTCTCATGGTGGGTGGGTGGCTTTTGGCACTCGCAGTTTATGTTTCTCGGGAGCACTTTGGAACCCCAGATGCTGCTCACGATCCCTCAGCCACTTCCACTCAGAAGGCGGGCAAAAAGATTACGCTTAACCAGATTATGCAGGGCGCATGGAGGAGTAGAACTCATGGGATTCAGTGGATCGATGGACCTTACGGAGACCAAGACGGCTTGCTGCTTAGCCAGAACTCCTTCGGCAGTGGCAACTTTCTCGAGGTCCAGGATGTCAGAAACAGCTCCAATACCATCGTGCTTATAAAGGACGGGACTTTTCAAGGTAATGGAAAACCCGTCAGTGCCGTTAAAGGTTGGCCAAGTTCGAATTTGAAGAGGGTCCTTGTTGCCTCGGATTATGAAAAGGTTAGCTTTTCTGCCGTCCATGATTATCTCTCTCCTCTTTGCTTTGCATTTTTATCCCTGTTTTTATCATTAACATTGTTCGTTTTTAGAAGTGGCGACATTCGTACAACGCACGATATTGGATCAATGACGTTGAAAAAGCTACCACCGAACCCCTTGTTCCTTCTGAACCCGAAGCGAAGCTGTCACTGGCAACTTGGTCCCCCAAGGGCGATGCGATCGCATTTGTGAAGGACAACAATGTGTTTATCCGCCAATTCGGCCTGGACCTGACTTCACAATATCACTCTGTTACCCAGATTACTAGAGATGGAGGCACCAACCTCTTCTACGGAATTCCCGATTGGGTCTACGAAGAGGAAGTGTTTTCCGGAAATAGCGCCCTTTGGTGGAGTCAAGATGGGGAATTCTTGACTTTCTTACGTACCAACGAAACTCAAGTCCCGGAATATCCCATCCAGTACTTCCTTTCCCGTCCATCAGGCAATGATCCCCCAGATGGATTGGAAAACTACCCTGAACTCGAATTTATCAAGTATCCTAAGGCTGGAGCCCCGAACCCGGTCGTCCACTTGCGATTCTACGACGTGAAGAAGAAAGAGAACTTTGCAATATCGGTCGAGAACGATTTTCCCGATGACGATCGGTTGATTACGGAGGTTGTTTGGTCGGATGGAACCTTTCTCCTTGTGAGAGAAACAAATAGAGAGAGTGATGTCTTACGCATGGTCTTAATCGATGTTAGTACACGAAGCGGGAAGGTTGTTAGAGAGGTGGATATTTCTGCCATCGATGGGGGTTGGTTTGAAGTGTCAAAGAATACCCGATATATTCCCGCGGACCCTGCAAATGGGAGGCCTCACGAGGGGTATATCGATACTATCATTCACGATGGATATGACCACCTTGGCTATTTCACTCCTTTGGACAATAAGGATCCTATACTACTAACCAAGGGACAATGGGAGGTGGTTGATGCTCCATCCGCCGTGGATCTCAAGAGTAATATCGTTTACCTTGTTGCTACTACAGAGGCTCCTATCGAGCGCCACGTTTACTGTGTCAAACTTGATGGATCCGATTTCCGTCCTGTGACTAACACGTCTGAAGATGGCCATTACAAGGTCTCATTCTCTAAATTGTCAGGCTATGCGTTACTGACGTATGAGGGTCCCGGGATACCATGGCAAAAGGTTGTTGGCACACCGAGTGGTGATCAGTCATTTGTCAAAGATGTCGAGGAAAACCAAGATCTTGCAACCCTGGCCGCCAAACACGAGCTTCCCACTTTCCATTACTCCACTGTCACCATTGACGGTTTCGAGCTCCAAGTGGTGGAGAGACGGCCTCCCCACTTTAACGAAAAACGAAGGTACCCTGTGCTGTTTCAGGTCTACGGCGGACCCGGAAGTCAACAGGTATCCAAATCCTTTAGCATTGATTTCCAAGCATATATTGCCGCCAGCCTCGAGTACATCGTTGTTACCATCGATGGGCGGGGAACCGGGTTCATAGGGCGTAAAGCACGGGTTGCTGTCCGTGGCAATCTCGGATACTGGGAAGCCCACGACCAAATTGAGACCGCAAAGATCTGGGGCAAGAAGGGCTATGTCGATGAAAAACGAATTGCGATCTGGGGATGGAGTTACGGCGGGTTCATGACCTTAAAGACTCTCGAGCTGGACGCTGGCAAGACATTCTCTTACGGCATGGCTGTTGCACCTGTCACAGATTGGAGGTTTTATGGTACCTCTCCTGCTCCCCCTCCTCCCTCTGCCGTCGATTTGAGTGCTTATTCAGTCTACAGATTCCATCTATACAGAAAGATACATGCACACACCCCAACATAACCAAGAAGGCTACCGTAACGCAACTATTTCCGACGTTCAAGCGCTTAGTAAGAGCGTGAGGTTCCTCGTTATGCACGGGGTAGCAGACGACAATGTGCACATGCAGAATTCTCTTGCACTACTCGATAAACTTGATCTAGCGAGTGTAGAAAATTATGATGTCCATGTATTCCCGGACTCGGATCACTCGATATTCTTCCGTATGCTCCTCACTGACCGTTTTTACCCCTCATCTCATCTCGCCCCATAAATGCTTGAATATGCGTTAATAACTAGGTAGATAATGCGAACCGAATGGTCTATGATCGTGGGCCTCCCATTCCTCTACCCCTTCCCATTCAGTCGCTATTGAAACAAAATACTAACAACAGCCAGGTCTCGAGCAATGGCTCATACGCGCCTTCAATGGTGAGTTCTTAAAACTGGACGGACTAAAACCTATTAGGGAAACATCGGAGCCTCTGCGTAAAAGGAGAGAGTTCATGTGATTTTAGGTCTCATTGTTCATTGAATAAGCTTTTGTGTGTGTAGGTGTTTAGTTTGGCTCCACCTTGTGCCAAGTTATCGTGGTTGTGTACTAGTAGTTCTGATACAACAGGCGTCCGGATTTCTTTTATGGCTGTTTCTTAAAATCAGATACCCTTCTTCGGGATTCGCCGCAAGGTGTGCAACACCGATGTTGCGTTTCTAGTGAGTTAGGGTCTCGTTCCGGCCCCCACCCCCGTCAATTCGCTGTCTAAAGTATTATTCGTACAAAGCTCTGTTTCGCACGCCATTGAATAAACGGTAAAAGTCTTCAATGCCACAACCCTGGCATGAAGATATCTACAATACGACAATACCTGAGACTAGTTTGGTCTCTAATTTTTACACCCCGCCCTACAACTGTTTACATGAGTACACACACCCCTAAACACAGGCCATCCATCCATGGGCAGTTTGAAACCTTTCAGACATAGATTCCCCATGTCAAATCTCGCTTGGACACTTGGTAGCTAAACTTTTTACTGACAGACCAGTCACACAAAACCCCTGCAACTCCACTGAAGGAAGAGAAACATTGCTCCAAGGCCAGAGCTGGATGGAGATCAGATAAGGCTGCTACTATAGGATCAGGTGAGCGAGACATCCATAAAAATTCAGGAAGGAAAGAAAGTGATTAGTTGTGTCATGGTGAAAAATTTTCATCTACAATACTGGTACTAGCCTAACATGTTGTGGCATTGTGGATATTTTCGTGCTGGGATTGTGGCATTGTAGATATTTTCAGGTTGGGGTTGTGGCATTGAAGACTTTTACCGTTGAATAAAAGGGTTTCGGGGCCGTTCTTCCCTTACATGATTGCGTCACCAAATATCATCCTAGGAAAGAAAAAAAAAGAATAAGTCACTCGCTCCCACACCACACCTATCCCCCCGCCCTCGAGGGAAGCAAATAGGAGGGTAATAATTAGGCAGGTTTTGCATGTACGAGGCTGGCGACAAAAATCACCGGTAGCAACCACAAATCGAATGAACGAACGATCAACTATTTCAACACAACAACAATTACTCAACAAGAGAAGTAGTAGGAAAATTTTTAAAAATAAAGCATATTAGAGAAGATGAATAGGAATAAAAAAAAGCATTAAAACTCCGTTTGCATCCCTTTCCATTCCTTGACCTGCATGAGCCTTACAGGCATACTATCTATATACTGGTTCCATGCAGATGGCTGTAAATGATCCCACTCTTCCTGAACAGCCTTTCTCAAATCATGGATATTTTGAGGAAAGGTATCCCATGCCTTGATCCTCTGCTTGAGAATCCACCAGACATTCTTGATGGGATTGAGGTCGGGTGAAGAGAATGGTCGATGGTGAAGCAGAATACCAAGAATGTTTTTGGTCTCTCTCAACATCCCACTTGTTCCATGGATTGGGGCTTGGTCTTCGATATACTGATCCTCCATAGAAGCATCATACCCCAGGAGGTTCATGAAAGCTGGAGCAACAACAGGTTCGAGGACCTGATATAAATAGTTTTTAGCAATCACTCCCTTTGGACCTGTACTCTCAAGGAAGATGAGAGGAGACTTCTAGTCATAACTGATAGTCTCCCATACCATAAAGGATTCTTGCCCACTATGGAAACTGTACGGCATGCAGTGATCATGGTAGCGCTCAGTTAGAAGTTGAGTTACCCAAACGCTCTCTCTCTGAGACTTGTCAAAAATGCACTTGTCAGAAAACATATGTTTTCGCCACCACTCAACTGGCTTATGCATATGTTCATCAGCATAATCTTTACACTTCAGTTGATTCTTCCGATTGATAAAGCACTTTTTACAAGCCTTGCAGTGAGAGTTATCCTTCTCTTGCAAAGCTCACTTGATGGTGGTCACAGAGGCACTTAACCCTACCTCCTGTCCTAACTTGCATTAGCAGAGTTGTCGCCCCTCCCAGCCGGTTCAGAGACGAAAGATTAGGCGTCAGATATTATGCTCAGAAAGACACTGGTGGCGTCCCGGACAGTGGTGTTGGCGGCAAGGCTGCTTTGACTTCTTCCAATCGCTTATAGTTTGTTGTGGAACTCCAGTCTCTCAGGAAATTTGAGACTGGGATAATCCAGTGTCCATTAAAGTAAGAACTCTGATTGGCATTGGGGTATGCCATTCGCCCCAAGGATCGTTTCGTGGTGGGGTAGTCGTCATTTTCATCTGTGGAAGATGGATGCTATTGTGGTTGTGATGCGAGATTTCTACCGGTGATTTTTGTCGCCAGCCTCGTACTCGGGTGTGTCCTTAATAAATGGAAATATTGGTATCCCTGTCCCACGGCATCAGCAACCAGAGAGCGACATAAGTTGGAAACTTCTGGCATGGATTAGCATCGCAGAAACCCGGAGGTAGGAGAGGAAAAAAAGAAACAAAAGATAATCCGGAGAGTAAAGTGAAACAAATGACGGTGAAGAGAGTAAGTGGCTGACAAGTGAGAACATCATCAGGAGATATAAAGTCAAAAAAATTAGAAGATGAAAATCTTGATTTCAGAGAGAAAGAAAATAAAGGCTCACAAATCTTGGATATAGATAAATGCAGCAGAAAACAGCCAGTAGTGCCTTTTATCAAACCCCACAACAAGTACTATGTCACTTGCTCCAGTCACTTGCTCTTGTCTTAGTAGACTCTTTTTTTCAAGTTCTTCTCCTATACAGGGTTTTGTCGCAAAAACAGTGATAAGGTCAGCCCACCCAGAGACTACCAGTAATTCCGAAGGTTCCACTTATGAGATGTCTTATGCCTCTGGAACAACTAGGCCTGATAGTTCTGATCATACTCAAGCCATGAATTTTGACCACTAGATCAAATAACCTGTAGTAACTTACCAGCGCAATTCAAATACTGCCCCTGAGTTGGAACCTGTGAGTACCCATCCTAGCTCTACCCCACATATTGCTGAACAAGGAAACAAAGACTCCGACAATATAAATCAAACCAGTCATGTATCTACCATTACCAGTACCACCCACTGATCTCTATCTTCAAGTGACATTATTGTAAACCTACCATATTGGATAACTGATGAAACTATCCAAGCCCTCTGGTATGATGTACAATAGACGTACCCGCAGCTGCGAATCAGATTGGGGATCTCCCTAGGTTTTTTGCACTGAATAATTCATTGAAATAGTTGTTGCGCAACTGGGTTGACTAGCAGAAGTCAGCACAGATCCCTGGGCTGGCAGCCAGTTGTTACTGATAACCTCTGTACCAGCCTAATTGCCTGTAATGGACAAGGTCCAGGCCGGGAGTCTCAGGGATGCTATAGTCAGGCTCTGGCAATATGAACAGGTTCGGCATCCTACTGAAGGTCTAGACAAGGAGCCTCCTTATCCAAGGGTTCTCTATCTTATTAGAATAAGGCTGAGAAGTGAGGTCCAAGGAGGCTTACCGACATCAAGCGGGTGTCTACCTACGGCGAGCATAACCAACTAAGGTCCAACTAAGGAGCATTCGTTGCGAGCTAAGGTAATCATCCAGTGTCCTACTGGAGGTCTAGGTAAAGGGACCTCATTGTCCAAGGAGTATTTGTCTAATTTGTATGCAGCCAAGGAGTGAGGTTCAAGAAGGGTTACCGACATCAAGCCGGCATCTACCTGCAGGGAGTATAACCAACTAAGGTCCAACTAAGGAGCATCTATCATGAGCCAAGGTAATCGTCTTGTGTTGCACAGGAGGTCTAGGTCAAGGGGTATCATTGTTCAAGGAGTATCAGTCTAATTTGTATGCAGCGGAGGAGTGAGGTTCAAGGAGGGTTACCAACATCAAGCCAGCTAAGGTAATCATGCAGTGTCCTACTGGAGGTCTAGGTCAAGGAACCTTGTTGTCGAAAGGTTATTCGTCTTATTAGTGTGCAGCTGAGGAGCAAGGTTCAAGGACGGTTACCAACCTCCAGCTGGCCAAGGTAATTGTTCAGTATTCTACTAGAAGTCTAGATCAAGTAGTCTCGTTGTCCTAAGGGTCATTGCCAAATGCAATATTGTTAAGTGATTTATAAGGGTCAGATCTCCTAAGGTCATAAAGTCTACCAAGAGTCAAGAGGGAAACTACCATTAAGATTGCTAACAGAGGATGGGCAAATATGAAGGAAGGCCAAGAGTGCAAAGGGTTCAGGTGGGAGAACTATAATCGAGATAGTTAACCGAGAATGGGGAGAGATGAAGGAAGGCCACGGGCACAAAGGATTCAGGTGGGAGAACTATTATTGAGATAGTTAAGCAAGGCCAGGCAGATACGAAGGAAGGCCATCGGCGCAAAGGGTTCAGGTGGGAGAACTATCATTAAGATAGTTGACCGAGGACGGGTAGACATGAAGGAAGGCCATGGGTGCAAAGGGTTCAGGTGGGAGAACTATCATCGAGATAGTTAACAGAGAACAGGCAGACACGAAGGAAGTCCATGGGCGTAAAGGGTTCAGGCAGGAGAAGTGTTATTGAGATAGTTAACTGAGGATGGGCAAACACGAAGGAAGGCCAAGGTCGCAAATTGTTCATGCGGGAGAACTATCATTGAGATAGTTAACCAAGGACAGGCAGAGGTGAAGGAAGGCCAGTGGTATGTTAATCAAAGAGCGTAAATCATACAGCTGATTCATGCTTGGGGGTCTCACTATAACTGACAAAGGAAAGATAAGAAATTAAACAAGAAGTGACGAGGTATCAAGTTTGTTCTTCTCAGGTTCTGGAATGTGGAGTTGTAACAACCTGACGGTTTCTTCATGAGAAACATGAAAGTAAGGAGTGGACGTAATTTCTAAGTATATACAAAGGTAGGAGATTACCAGATTGTGTAAAGAAAGTAAAATATCAAGGGGCATACCCCATAGATATACCCAAAGAAATCCCACAATCCAACAGCACTCCTCTAAAGTGCAAAACATAAGAACACAATAGAAAATCCTCCAATATATAATGTACAACTTTTCTGTATGTTCCAAAACACTAAGGAGATCCTATACTTTATCTGACCAGGTGCAGATCATATAATCTTGCTACATGGATTCACCACACACTGTTCCGACCCACTGCACATGGCCAACCTGGTCTGTCTTGCTACACCTTTCTCTTCAGGAACATGACTCTGGAGAACTGCTGAGAGCTCCTTCAAGTACAAAATGTGTGATGAGAGTGAAGAAGATTTGGTGGCCGTGACATTGCTGGAGCAACTGCCTATTGCAGAAACCGTCGACTTTCCTACACACAAGTAGCTGAGTTGGAAGGAATCCAGCTAGGCCACAGGGCTTTGTGGAGGGGGGGTATTTGAGAGTAAGGGTTATCATAAGGGAGTGGCCCATGTTAAGCCATTTCTTTGACAAAATAGCAAAGAGCAGTGCCATGAGTAGAGAGGACATTTTCATGATTGGAGTAGCGAGGACTGGATGGATGTGCTCTATGCTGATGAGTGCATATTTTCTGTTGGGAATATTAGTAGAACAGTTTAGGTGACTCGTCATCCTAAGAAGGAGTATGAAGAGGATTGTCTTGTATCCTGCTTTCCAGGCCGTACTACTATCATGGTCTGAAGTGCTATTTATAGTGGTAAACAGAGTCATCTAGTGATTTGGGGCACCCCTAATTGGGGTTGCGTTACCTCCTCCACCTATGTCAATCATATAATCCAGCCTACCTTGAATCCCTGGTAAGAATTCCTTTATTCTACTGCCTGTACTAATTCTGGATATATCTATTACCAACAAGACAATGCTCTAGCTCATCGGTCTTGTATTGCACAAGAAGTATTTCAAGAACTTGGTCTTTGCAACTACCTTCCTCCTTGGCCTTCTAGCTTCCAAGATATGAGTCCTATTGA